TGATGCAAAAGAAAACAAACATTACTTTGGCTTTAATTAAAAAAAAAATTATGAATTTAACTCTTTTTCAGATGGAAAGGAGAATTTATCTGTCTTGCAACAAAGATGCAGAATTTGGGAAATGACCTGAAATCCTATGCATACATGTCTAAAAGAAGGAAAAACATTTTAAAAGTACAGTATTCTATATTCAATTTTTATATTTTGATCTGCAAACAAAGTTAATGAAGGTGTGTGAGGATTACTGTTTGTCTGTCTGTCTGTCTGTCTGTCTGACTGTCTGTCTATAGCTGTCCATCTGACTGTCTGTCTTATAATCAAAGAATGTTTCATAATCTTCAACCATGCAGTTACATTGGAACAAAGTTGAGCTGATTCAAGAAGTGAGCATGAAAAATTCTTATAAAATTCTGAGATGCAGTTTCTTTTGATGTTGTTTTCAACTTGCCCATTTTGGGGAAGGAGATACAAGTCCTATTTGGGAAGGTATAAAACAATACATGTATTATTTTAAATCGGATTATTTTAAATCTGTACAAGTTAAATTAAAAGAAAATCACGTGATATATATTTTGAGGGTTATATAACTGATTATAAAAAGATACTTTTGTGTCTCAGAGTTTCCTTGAATGAAAATGAAAATTTATGAATGGTATATTTAATTAACAGAGGAGTCAAGGTGCTGAAATGTAAATGAATATACTCATTAAAATTATCATGTTTATGTTAATTAATTATATAAATGACATGTGAATTTCAGCTGCACATTATAGAATGCAAACTGTTTTCACTTGTCTTTGGGAGGTTAAAATACATTACAGTTGATAATGCATAAAATATATTTTCTGTTGTTTTAATTAAGACCCGCCAAGAGTCAGATTTTCCTGTCTTAGTCAGCAAAGAGAAATATAGAAATCAGTCATGCATGGTTGCTGAGGATTGACTGCCCATTGGTGAACATAATGGTCACAGGTAAATGAATTGGTCATAACCACAGAAGTAGAGAGAAGACATGTCCGTGTTTACTACACATTTGTTTATGTGTTTACAGTGAGTGGCCCTGGATTTTATTCAGATTATAGGAAAGATTATTTTTTGTGTTTCGTATTTAATCAGGTAACATATATTGCATTTTAAATTCAGATTTCTACTTCTGAAATACTAATGAATGCATTATTTGAGATTATGTTGATGAACTGTTCTCAGAAATATTATGTCATTTGATTGCTTAATAATAGTTTCATTGTGAATTAGTCATGAGGGATATATATTTAAAGGGAGAGGGAATTATATAAGTTTTGAGATCAACAAGTTGGTCAATTTTGAGTTAAGATAAGTAGAATTCTTTTAAATGATATGTTTAGTAGCTCTTCATTCAAGCACAATATTTTCAAATTGAATTTAAGCTCCCCCCCCATAATGTTACATTGCAGACTTAATTGAAGTATTTTGACCATGTAGTATAATTATTAAGTATCAGGTAGATACAGAAGCAGCAAATAGTGACCATTAAATATTAACATAGTGACTATTGTTCATGTAATTCAATTATCAGGTACAAAAGAGGAGAATTGCAAAGAAGTTATCAAACACCTGCATTGATCATGTTTTGTTTATTAATTTTATTATCATTGCTGATTTAAAAGAAAAAAATGTGTTAATTTTAATTAACATAACATTTTGAGTTTCGAAAAATAATCAATTTGTCCTCTTGCTGGCAAGTTAATTTTTCTCTTAGATTAAGATTAAAAACCACGCAGTGTAAATTAATATAATTTTTTTTAGTTTAAAAGTATATCAAACCTTTATCAAATGTCAAGTCATAAATGTTTAATACCCCCCCCCCCTCCAACTTTCCCCTTTACAACTTTCCTATTTAGTTCATTTTCAGCATAAGGTACCTACCTTATTTCTGCAGGAAAAATTTTCAAAGACAACGGACTATCCATGAACAGAAATCACTGTTGTTTACTTACATTGTGAAAATTAATGGAAATAATGAATTAAATTACTTAGTTTTGGTCTAATATAATGTTAAAAATATTTAAATCTATTACAAATTATGTAATTAACTGAAAAAAAAACATTTTTTTCTATCTTACTTCTAAGGGCAGATCACTCTAACTGCATAAAACTACCCTACAAGTATAACTCTTCAGTATGCAGTGTTTAGAGCTTCCTTAAGCTGAAAACTCTGGGAATCTGCTTGATAAAATACAGTAGGAAGTTTTAGGTGCTAATGAAGGCTATATAGATTGAGTTGATGCAGTGTAATGTCAGGGGTGGGTAATTAAAGAAAAGGGGTGAGGATACAGAATCTCATTTTTACATTGTGTGGATGGAATGATTGATGGTGGTGTTTGATTTTGAGGATGTGGTGACTCGAAACCTTGCAATTCCACGAACTTATCTATTGTCAGAAGACTTAATTAATGTATGAAGTTATTTGGTATTTTTTAATTATCATGTTCATAAAATATGTTAATATTTGATCAAAATGAGTAGAAATATATAGATGTTAATTATATTGTTTCTTTAGGAAGGAAAAATTCAGATGATGAATTGTTAGAATAAATTACCAATCATATTTTAATCACATGGAACTTAGCATATAGGAGAGAAAACCAAGCAATACATTTCAGTAGACGCAATAGATGAAACAGTTTTTTTTTTTCAAATGATTCATTGTACATGTTATGGTAATTTATCAATTTGATGTCATCATTTGATAAGCTTTGGACAGAAGTTTCACAAGTGGTGTTACACAACCGGTGTAAAAGAATGGATGTGTGATTAAATTCTCTGATTCTCATCTGAGTTTGGCCTAAGGTCATACATTGGATAGTGTTAGTTTTTATCATAGTCCAGATCAGGTTTAGGAATTCCTGGGTGCTACAAGCAGGATTTGTCATCAAACACAGTAAGGAGATGTTAATTATTGTGAATAATTATAATTGTCATTGGATGTAAACATTTTGAACATTGTATTATATTTGTATGCATGTGTCATAATCAAGTATGCAATTTACTGATTTTTAGAATTTTATGATGATAATTATTTGCCTTGATCATCATTTCAATCTTGAAAAGAAATTTTCATTCATTTTTCTTTTTGTTCGTTATTAAGCATTTAAACATACAAACCATTTGTTGGGGTTAGGGTTGGTGTGGGGGTGGGGATAAAGAAACAACTTTGACATTCTATGAACTTCCTAATTTTTGTGGGGGTTCATTTTTGTTGTTTTGTAGTATTAAGTGACCCACAAATTCATGTACTCCACTAAATGTTAATATTTCATACAACCTATCATGTTTCCTTTTCTACCACAAAATCAAATCCCCATGATCTAATATTTGTTGCTCAAACCATGAAAATTTCACCCCTTGTGAATTAGGGATATTTTACAGTATTATATCAGAATAATATTACCTTGACCTTCAGTTGACCTTGATGTTAAATTTCTTCATTAAAAAGAATACCTTGATAATTTCTTTAGAATACTACATGTGAAGGGGTTTTATATCTTTGTGAACACATCATGTTGGCTTAAGCCTTTATTCCAATTTACCCATTTTGCTTTTTTTTTTCTTTTTCTTTTTTTTTTGCACAACACAGATAGAGGATATGGCTTCATAACTTTGTATACAAAGAAATATTTTTGGTCAATACTTTATTAGCCTTATAAATACTCCATCAATAAATGGATTTGATGTTTTCATCGCCCCAAAACACAACATCTCCTCACATCATATTTACAAAGCATTGGTGTCAGACATTTAGTGCTACATTCCCCTGATCATAACCCAGCTTAAGTCAAAATATTATGACCTTGTCATTATACTGATGTACTTTTTTTCTCCTTGACCTTACTATTTACAGCTTTTGAGTTTTTGTATACCATAAAGGATTCCTTTTCAGAATTTTATACACATACATATTAATTTATTTATAAGCAATGTAACTTAGAGTTGTCAAAATTTGATGCCATTGACTGTCACCCTACATTTCTGTTCTGTTTAGTTGTTTTCTTGAACACTGCAGAGAATGTATGAACAGATATAATTGTGGAATGAAACCTTTCATCACTAGTGAAGCATTTACATCCTTTGAATATATTTCTAGTTCTTTTAAAATATCAATTTTCTTAAAGTACATGTATATATATGTATCATTTTTTTAGGAGTCAAAAATATCATATTTCTGATATATTGCCATTAGTGATGTGAGTACTATTGTTATTTTGTCAAGGACTGCAGCACTTTTTCTTGATTTCTGTGAATTATCTTGGTATGTCCTCCTTGCAGTGGCTGGGTCAGGTGAAATAGATCCTGGACTATTTCCATGTAACTTCTAGAACATTATAGTGTTATAATTTTATAAGAAAAGAAGACAAATTTCGTTAGTGGTATTTCTGAGAATTTAGCGTTTGTATCAGCATGATCCTATTTTGAACCCTCATCTATTCTGAATGTGGATGTCAGATTGTGAAGGAAAGAATCCTATCTCATTTGTCAAATGAATAAATTGGTTTAAAAAACAAATATATCATTATTAAAAGATTAAACCTGTGCATGTGACCAACCTTCTTGAAAGTGAAAATAATTAGAAGCATTGCAAGAAAGCTGATTTACAAGACATGTTATTAATTTTCATGATGCAGGAATGTCATGGTCTGAATGTAAAGTGTTGTCTAAAGATGCTTAATTGTCTCACAAATTTTTTGTTATGAAACCTTTTTGAGGTTTTTTTCCCCATTTGACTTTGTCAGGAGTGGTGATTCAAACATGAAATTTTCCCTACACATACCCTATACACACTCCCTATACGTACATAACAATTCAGTCTCCAATGTACAAGTAACAATATAATAATGTGAAATAAATGTAATTGGATCTTATGATGACCAGAGATTAATTCTGTGATATGACTTAACGGCTGTGAAATATTGGTAACTAGAGAGAATATTTCTACTTTTATTGACAGGTACTAAGAAAGAGAGAACTCTTCACAGATCATGATGTGGAGAGGAGCAGCCTGGGGGTGTTTCTTCATTGGCTTCATTTCAGTTGCTTATGGTAAGTTGTATTTCTTTGATTTATAGCAATTTTTAATCGTTTTTGGTCAATATAATACAATTGACAGAATTAATAGGTGAAACATGAATTTATCACTATGGAACACATATAGGGAGTGTACAACACTGTGGAAATTGAGTAGTTTCCAAGACTATATACTATGATCTCTAGTACCACTATGAGTATATCTGTGTACTCTGCTGATGAAAGGCTTTAATTAATTACTGGTAATTAAGGAGTTGCAGATTGAAAAGAATTTAAAAATGTGTTCTCAGAGACCATGCAGTTTCCATGCCTCTGACAAGAAAGCCCATGTCCATTTTGTATTGGAGTTACACATATTTGTAGGTGGTACTTTTGTCTTTATATAGGTATTAAATTGATCAGTATAAGACAATCAGTTTTTACATTTTTCCTTAAATTCTTCCTCAGATTCATATAAAAGAGCTGACTTTGCAAGCAACTCTGTTTAGCTCACCTAAGCCAAAGTCTCTAGTAAGCTTTACTTCTGATCAAATTTTGTCATCTGTTTGTCTGGTGTCACCTAACTTCTTACATGTTCAACTTCCCCTCCAGAACTGACAATTAAACTAGCTTTAGTACAAAAAGAATTAAATAGGCATTTGTAAAATTTTTGGAGAATGCCAATACATGTACTATTGTTTTGACAAAATAACATGTGTGTAGTCATCAGTATATTTTTGCCTTTTGACTTTGTATTGGACCACATTAAGGGGTACAAATTTGTTAGATTCCTTCATTAGAAAGAGCCATGAAACTGAGCTGAGCTTTGTGCCCCTAGACCTTTTGTTTAAATTGATTTTTCTTCTTGATTACCCCTTTACTGTGCTAGCTAGCTTTCAAAGGTTTTCAAGTCCTCATAGGAACACATATTAAATATTGACAGAGATTCATCAAGTCTTATGTTGTGTACCATAAGTAGTTATGACATTATGACAAGTGAAAGAATTTCATTTTAAATAAGAGAGTGTTCCTTGTGTTGACAAGCATAGAAACCCTCCATCTTCATCAATCATGACACATTGGAAATGTAGTTCATGAGAAAAAAAAACACCCCATGATCAAAGCAGAAGTCTCCATAATTTATACATAGCTAGAGTCCAGAGAGACACCTTTATATATTATGTGTCAGAAATTTAGGTAAATATCACATTTAAAAAACAGAGGTTATGCAATTTAAGAAAAAGGGGTCATATTCATTGTATATAATAAGAGGGGTATTTCTGATTTGGTTGTTCCTTGAAAGCCAAATTCAGACAAGGAGTTTTAAGGTAGCATTTTGTGAAAGCCTTCCCCAAGGCTCCTGTACAGTATTTGAGTCTGAAAGAACAAGGTAGGGTTTCAATACGAATCTTGCCCAGTATTTTTCAAAAATATGAAAGTGATGTAAGAAATTAAATCTCATGCTTCTGAGTGGTTAAAATTCCATGCAGTAAGAACATACAAATCTTTTTTCTCCTATGACTTCCTGAAGGCTAAATGTGATGTCATAAACTTGTGCATTTTCCCGTACTTTCTTTAAAAGTTGCAGAAGACATCAATTTTCAGTGAAATTTTATCTCAGATAATATAGAGCACATGCATCGCCCACAAAGATTTTCAGAAATATGATTTTTCAAAGGATTTTACACAACATATCCAAAAATTGCAGTGGGCGACGGCTGTGGACACTATTTTCTTAAGGAAAATGACCTTAGAAATGAGTCATTTTGAGGCTTTTTCTGTTAAAAACTTATAAATGTACCAAATTAATGATGTCATATTTCCAGAATGGTCCTCTTTCATGCCATATTTTTTTTATGATTTATCACATTCATATACTCAACTCATATTAAAGCCAATTCCATAACTTTTTGAAAACATTAAATTTTTAGGGCATAATTAAGTCCAAATCATACCTTCTTCTTTATCACATGTATGTCTTTGATAACTCCAAATAGTTTATAAAGAAAAGAAAAAAGATTTAATATATATTTATCATCATTTGTCCATCTAAGGACCATCTCCCAATAATGAAGCACCTGTTCCTGTTACTGGTATAAACTTATCTTTTAAGAGAAATTAATGTGTAAAATCTGATTATTTTTAAAAATAACAATAATGATATTACACCTATTATAATGAATATCTAATTTCTGAGAAGAACATATTTGTTTTCTAATATTAAAAAGGCAAAATTTGGTATTTAAAAGATGTACAAGCAAAATTATACATAAAATTGCTTATGGCACGACTTATGAAAAAAATTATCTGACATTAGAATTTATTTGATCATAACTTTGTGATTTTGGTGAAAAATGTAAAGTTAAAGCTTGCCTGTAGGGAAGTCATGTCATAAAATACTGTGGCTAAATCCAGATAACAATGGATACATACTACATTAATTTCTTACCCTAGAGGAATTGACTGAATGTCATGGCTGCTGTTTCTATTGCATTACACTATCACTTACATATTAACCATCAATATTCAAAAATTTTATATACTTTTTTTAACTTTTTTACTTTACATTTGAATTTTACCTGTACATGTATTTTATTAATTGTGTCACTTTCTAGTTGGAAATTGCATAAGGTGTGTCTGTCTCTTTGTCTGTCAGTTTAGCTGTCTTTCTGTCTGACTGTTTCTCTGTCTGCCTGCATGTCTGTTTGCTTCTTTGTCTATCAGTTCCTCTGTGTTTCTGTCTGTTTCTCTGTCTGTTGTTGTTTCTTTGTTTGACTGTCCCTTTGTCTGAATGTTTCTTTGTCTGCCTGCCTGTCTGTCTGCTTCTTTGTCTGTCTGTCTCTCTGTCTGAATGTTTCTTTTTCTGCCTGCCTGACTGTTTGCTTCTTTGTCTATCAGTCCCTCTGTCTTTCTGTCTGACAGATTCTTTGTCTTGAAGATGATTGGATAGAATTGCATGGTTGGAGAGAAATTTCAGGAAAAATATTCATATGATGTAAAGTTTATTTTACAGTGTGATTGCAGATACACATTTACAAGAATACTTAATTAAATTTTTGTTGCCATTGAACCAAAGTCTCACATTTGCAAATATTAATGTACATGTAGTTAAAATTTAGACAAAATAGGGCCGAACCTCAAGCTGCTGGTGCCCTATCATAAAAACTGTGTCTTCTGACTATGACATTTTAATGTGATCCAATAAATTTAGTACTTTTAACCCACAGATTTCATGATTATAGTGAAACGTCTACCGTTTTGGGGTTACTTGGGCAAGTTAACATTAAGATCATATCCAAGATCAGTACTTAGATTTACATTTTCAAATATTTACCTTAGATAAACTTACTGAAGAGAAAATATGTTCAATTTTGTATGAACTTAGGGGGGTCAGAGGTCATAGCATGACTTAATCACACAGCAAGATGATATCTTACCTACATATTTCTGCCACAGTGAAACTGGTTTCAGAACTTCTAACTTGATAGTTGGGACAAAGATAAAATAATTGAAACTGTAACAGGAAAGGAGAAAATGTATGGCTGGACCAGGAATCGAACTCGGGACCCCTGCATCACTAGTCAGGTTGTCTAACGACTGAGCTACTTAGGCCGATATCCATGGCCCAAACCATAACATTCCTCCCTCCTTAAAACTGTCTTCACCCTCGAAGACACAACTCAAGTTCTTATTACCCCCTGGTAGGACTTTCACCTTCAAGTCCAGGGGTGGTCAATTGCACCAAATTATGTAACAGGAAAGGAGAAAATGTATGGCTAGACCAGAAGTTGAACCCGGAACCCCTGCATCACTAGTCAGGTGCTCTGCCAACTAAGCTACCCAGGGTGGTATCCATGGCGCAAACCATTACAAAACATTTATGTGGATATTTTTTTCAATCAACAGATGTCCATTAGATCTTCCTTCAGTGTGAGGAATGCAAGGTTTAAATAAAAGTATTAAAATTTGTTTAAATCTCAAAATGTCTTTGAAGATATGTAAACTGATCGAAACAGATGATACCACCACTTTTGACTTCACATATATAAAGAACTAATGAAATTGTAAGATTATTCTCAATACTGATCATTGTTCTGTCATTATAGAGAGATTCTCTGAAGTTGATTGCTAAACATCAATGTAAACATTCAAATGTTGGAGCTAGGTGAATTAACTTTCATGCCAAATAACTTCTAGGTCATTGCATATCACAACTTAATGATGCAGCAGGTTCTTTGTGTAAGATTTTTATTTGAATGTTCATTTCAAATGTAAATACAAGTAATAAATAACAAGGTTAAAAAGTTCATTGGGAAATGAACTTGGTTGGTACATGATCAAATCTACTGAGAAGCCCTCCACGTCACAGGATTTGATTATGTGACCATGCAACCAAGTTCATTTCCCAGAGAACTTTTTAACCTTATTATTTTATTCTTCAATTACTTTATTACTAAAACAATGAGACTTTATTAGTTGTTTAAAAAAAATAGAATGAGTCAATACTACATACCATGCTTCAAATGGCAACAACTGTATTTAATGAATTAGGGTGAGTTAACCATGCATCGGACACATACCTTGCTTCGGACAACTTTAAGCAATAAACTTTCATTGAACCTGAGTCTCCCCGTGTTTTTACTTGTTTCTGTCTTAAAGGTGAAGAATTAAACTTTTTATTGATGCCGATTTTTATTTTCATGTTGTGATAAAAATACCACAAGAATGGCCTTGAAATTACGTCATATTTTGCATCATCAAAGGGGAGTAACCAGAATTTTACGATTTTGCAATTTTTAGAGTTGTCGTTCTTTTAAACAGACGTCAACGGAACGGGTCGGATCTTGGTAAAATTTGTCAATGATTGATAATATTACAGAAATTTTTCAAAAATTTTACTTCAATGTTTCTATAATATATTTTAGAGTTGTTTTTAACTAGTATGTTTATTTCACCGTACATCGGACACAAATTAACCATGCATCGGACACTTTCCGATGCATGGGTAATCACTTTCATTTTCATGTAAAAACTCAAATGACAACTGTTTTTTACGGAAATAGAAAATAGATACTCTAAATGTTCAGTAAAAATACAAATTATCGATATATGACGACTAGAAGTGGACTCAATTTATTTCTTTAAACTAGATGATTATAAACCACGAGACAAAGGCGCGAGTTAAAATATTACTAGCATTGTAAAGCCTTTCTAAGGCGATGTGATGCAACTAAAATCTCTTCATATTTGTGGATCGAAATAGTCATTCAAATTTAATTACAAGGTTAATTTTTAAATAAATGATAAAAATGTTTCGATATCACTAATTTTAAAGCACCGAAATCAAGGTATGATATTTTTCTGGTTTAAATATATCGTATGTCCGATGCATGGTGAATATTGTCCGATCCATGGTGAATTCTGACTTATTTCGAAAAAATCGGTTTTTAATGATATTTTCTCAATAAATAGGGCACGATTGTGTCAAAAATTTATATTTTAACCACATATTACATGTTAAGTTCCATTTTGATAATATTCGGTCGGTAGCGATATCGCTAGAACTTGTTGAAGTGCAAGGGTGTCCGATGCATGGTGAATTCACCCTAGTTCTGTTTACGGAATAAAAAGTATGAATATTTTTCTTTATTTTATCATATTTTACTATTTGCTCAGACTGAAGAAACAAGGTACATCTTTTCATGTTGCAGTAGAGCAGGATATAATTTTAGATTTGACACACTGATTACATAGGTGAAAAATGTATTGGAAAAGACACCTTCAGATTTAGGGATAAAGTTGTCAAATGTCAAGGTCAGATGCCAAAATTATTTATATGACCATTGTAACTTGGAATATTTTTGTTTGTTTTATGTTGGTTTTTGTCCCATTAGAGAATTGTTCACTCATTTAGGTGAAGAGCCACAAATTTTGATGCTTATGGCCATAGGAATGAGAGTTCTTTATTGTGACACAGGATCTATTTTTTATGGCCTTACCAAAAAGACCTCTGACTATAACTTCTAATGCCAGGCACTAGGCAATTTTTTGTTTGTTTGTTTTTTTATGTTGTTTACTTTCCATTGGAGAATTTTCACTTCACTCATGTAGAGACACCACCAGCTTTAGTTGAATTGCCACAAATTTTAACCTATGCATGATGCTTACAGCCATAGTAGTGAGTGGTTCTTTGTAATGCTTTAAGTTCATATCAGAAAGACAAATGACTTTCACTTCCAATGAGACGATGACAGGTGCTGGCAAAGAAATAGTCACTATCCATGTTAAATAACTCAGGTTTGATGCTGCTCTGGGATCAAGAATTCACAGAACCTGGGCCTCTCTTTCATGAATCAAGAGTCCTAATCACTAGGTTACTCAGATTGATTTGGATTATTTTTAGCCAAAGAGCATTGCATTTTTAGGTCCTCTGAGCCAAAGGCTCAATGAGTTAATGCCATGGCCATTTGTGAGGTATGCCTCAACTTTTTAGAATATGGGCCATATCTCAAGAACCCTTTGGCCAATTTTTGTCAAATTTGTCATAGAGAATCCTTGGCCCAAGGGCTTTCATTGATACTAAAAATAGGAGTGTGACCATTAAACAAGAGGAAATAATTAGGGAAATAAAACAAAAGTTGTGGTGACCTACTTTTAATGGAATTTAACCGCTATATTGAAATATTTCAGATAATAAGAGATTTTGAATCATCAAACTTTGTCGGTTTGTGCATCTTAGGTCAACAGTGTGTCAAATAAAAAGTAGGTCACTGTGACCTACTTTTGGAATTTCATTGTATCTGAGAGGCTTAGAATCGTCAAACTTTGTTAATTGACTCACTTGGGTCCTTCAATTGTGTCAACCAAAAAGTAGGTTTCTGTGACCTCCTTTTGGAATTTTAAGGCAATATCTAAATATGTCAAGTTATAAGAGACTAAGAATCATCAATCTTTCTCAGTTGATGCATCTTGGGTTCTCAAAGTATGTCAAATGTGACCTACTTTTCTACTTTTGGAATTTCACAGCTATATCTAAATATTTCAGAAAATAAGTGTTTAGAATTATGAACTATGTCAGTTGATGCATCCTAAGTCAAAAAAACTAAAAAGTAGGTCATAGTGACCTGCTTTTGGAATTTCATAGTCATATTTCAATTATGAATATTGAGGATACTGAGAGGCTTAGAATCATCAAACTTTAAAATGTTAATTGAATCACTTCGGTCCTCAGATTGTGTCAACCAAAAAGTAAGTCACTGTGACTGCTTTTGGAATTTCAAGGCTATACCTAATATTTTGAATAATAAGAGGCTTAGAATCATCCTTGTTTGTTGGTTATGCATCTTGGGTTCTCAGAGTGTGTTAACCAGAGAGTAGGTCATGGTGACCTACATGTACTTTTGAATTTTTGGCTTTCAAGTTGATGCATCTTTGGTCCTTGGAGAGTTTCTACAAAAGGTAGGTCAGTGACCTATTTTTGGAATTTCACAATTTTATCTAATATTTAGGATAATACTAGAGTTGAAATAATTAGATTTTGTTAATAGATGCATCTTAGATAAACAGAGTGTGTCAACTAAAAATAAGGTCACAGTGACCTGCTTTTGGAATTTCATAGTCATATTTCAATATTGAGGATGCTAAGAGGCTTAGAATCATAAAAATGTGTTAGTTGATTCATTTTTTTTCACCATGACCTACTTTTGGAATTGCATGGCTATATCTGACTTTTTCAGATAATAAGAGGTTTAGAATCATTAAACCTTGTCAGTTGATGCATCTTGGGTTCTCAGAGTGTGTTAACCAAAAAGTTAGTCATGATGACCTAATTTTGGAATTTCAAGGCTTTATCTTAATATATATGGTACTAAGAGGTTAAGAATAGAAGTGATATGGTTGTAAAATTTATCAGCTATTCTAGGCTCTTGGGCCTTTTGTGAAAATATGCTTAGTAGAAGATGACTATTTTGACTCTTCAACATAGGTTCAGGTCAAAGAGTCCAGAACTATCTATTGATTTGGTATTTCACGTTATTTCTGATTTTAAAGGTACTTCATCTATTAGTGCCTGCTAGTAGTTCTGCATTATTTTTTATATGTCTGCCAGCATTGAGTTTAAATGATGCATTAATTATGAGAAAGATCTGTTCATTTAAAAAACAAAGTGTTACATGTAGTGTAGTAGATTAATAATTACTTCTGTTACTTTTGGTCAAAATTGACAATATAATTCACAAAAATGTGTTCAAAATCATCATGATGAAAAAAATTCCTTTTGGGAAATTTATTATTTTATCTTGGACATTGGGGTTGTTGTTATGAACAGTCAGTCTAATTAGAAAATTAATCACTTGTTCTAATGCTCTTAGAAAACTTGATTGGGTGAAATTTGAGAATTTAACCTTGTTAAATGTACAATGTTTTATTTCAGGAAACAATCTATGTCCAAATGGAGACCCCTTTATCATCAAGAAGTGTTCGGATGACAATGCCTGCTCATTGTTGTCAGAGCAGTGTTATCATGGAACTTGCTGTCCAAGAACTTTCAATAGTGGTTAGTATTGATAAAATTGAAAAAAAGATATTTGTGAGGCATTTAAGCAAGTTCTATGTTAGAGTAATATTTAAAATCTAGGTATCATATTTGATCAATAAAATTGTGTCATAAATAAGCAAAAAATGTTAATACCTTCTGAAATACAAACATTCAGTTTGGGCATAAATGAATGAGTGACATGCAAATAGTTATAACTAATTGTTTTCCTGCTTAAAATTTCACACATAGGTCCAAAATGTCCTGATGGTGATCCAGCTGAAACCAAAGCGTGTAACTCTGATGAATCCTGCAGTCCTAGTGTAGAGTTCTGTAATATCAATACACAGACATGCTGTCCTAAGAAATATAATTTAGATGGTAAAGTATTGTATTGAGATCTTTTCAAATTTCAAGGTTTATCATCATAAATTATTTATGATTTGTATTTAATTCTGCAGCTAATATGAAGCTCTAACTCATGTATAAATTAATGCATGTTTCAAATTTGGAAAAAAATTATTCTTTTCTTGGCAGGTCTAGAAGGCACCTAAAAAAATCAAACTGCTCACAGATTTATTTTTATGCCCCCATAATGGGAGATTGTTCTGACCGTCCGTCTGTTTGTCAGTTTGTCTGTAAAAACATTAATCTTGCCCATAACTTTTGATTGAATGGAGCAAGGGCTTTCATATTTCACATGTGATTTCTTGTGACAAGGCCTTTCTTTGGATACCAACATATTTGACCTCTTGACCTTGACCTTGGAGTTTGACCCCCTTTTTGCAAAATTTTACTAAACTTTAACCTTGGCCTTAACTTTTGAAAAGTAAGTGCTAGTACTTTCATACTTTGCATGTGTAATCCTTGTGATAAGACCTTTCTTTGGATACCAACAAAGTTGACCCTTTTATCTTGATCTATAAGTTTGACCTACTTTTGAAAAATTTTAACCTTGGCTATAACTTTTGAACAGTTGGTGCTAGGGATTTCATATTTCACAGGCATATTTCTTGTGACATGACCTTTCCTTGGGTACCAACAATTTTGATCATTTGACCTTGACTGTGAAGTTTGATCTAATTTTGAAAAAAACTTTAACCTTTGCCATAACTTTTGAACAGTTGGTGCTAGGGCTTTCATATTTTGCAGGTATATTTTTGGTAAGAAGACCATTCTTTGGGTACCAACATTTTTGATCTCTTGATTTTGACCTAGGAGTTTGACTTGCATTTGAGAAGCTCATACCTTTGCTATGAGCTGCGATACAGGGGCATCAGTGTTTCACAAACACATCTTGTTGCCCCATGCTATTATTGCAAACAATTTTCCTGGATTTTTAGATTTCCTCAGACACAATTTTGTTAAAAAGGGGGAAATCTAAATTTTTGGCAATAAACAGAAATTTATGCTTTCCTTTACCTGTGTAAAGACACTACTGTAAATCCAAAGAGTATTTATTTTGTATTAATGTTATATTTAAAAAATACCTATGAGTTCAGTAGTAACATAAGTCAATATACATGTATTTTTGTTTTTTCTATTGAGTACAGTAACCAAGTATCCAGTCGGAAAAATAACGAATTTTAAAACCGGTTTACTAAATTTTGATTAATTTCACAACCTTAATGAATAAGGGTTTATATCAAATTAATGATAAAATACATCTATTGCTAGTAGTATCAATGAAATGTTGGCAAAATCATTGCTTTTTTAACTAAGTAGTGGTGCATTAAGGTTCTTAAGTTTTACAAGAGTGTAGATAAAACAAAAAAATGCTTTGGCTCAGAAAAAAAAAACTTGAATGATGTCACTTTAGTAAGTGTTATGCCTCTTGCTGCAAAACACAAAATAAGAATGCAAAATAAAAATTTCATATTTGGTCAAGTTGGGGGATAACATTAAATCTTCATGATGATGAGGGTTAAAGGTCAACGAAAACTTTGCCATTTATCCAAAATTGTGTTTCACTTTTAGGTCATATTGTTTGGACATATTATTACAAGTATGAAATTTTTTAGGTCTGACCTGGGTTGACCAAATCCCTCATTCGTAGGCACATTTGATTTTAAGTAGATACATGTAAAGGCAAACCTCCTTTTTTTCTGAAAAAGATATTTCACAATTATTTATTTTCTTGTAATTTAATTTAGGACAAAAATGTCCAGGAGGAAACCCTGCTGAGATTAAGACCTGTGCTTCAGATGAGTCCTGCTCTGTGACAGAATTTTGTAACAAAGGGACATGTTGTCCTAAAACAATTAACCAAGGTGATTCAGCTTTGATATTCTTGTATTAAAAATCTCTGAAATATTTGAAAATTTAAAACATCGTAGTTAGTTATACATGTATGTAATTTTTAAAGTCTCTCGAATTTGTTGAAGAACCTTCCAGTGTGTATGAGTTGAGCACCCATCACAATTCACCATATGTACTTTTTGTCATAATTTCAGATTTCAAATGTCCAGGTGGAAACCCTGCTGAAATTAAGACCTGTGCTTCAGATGAGTCCTGCTCTGTGACAGAATTTTGTAACAAAGGAACATGTTGTCCAAAAACAATTAACCAAGGTGATACAACTTTGACATTTTTATGCCCCGCCATGAATATGGCCAGGGCATATAGTGTTTGTCATGTCCGTCTTCCGTCCTTCTGTCCTTCCGTCTGTCCTTCTGTCACACTTTGCGTTTAGCTCTGTTCAAAGCTCAGTGTCAAAGAAACTATCCAAGATATTTTTATCAAACTTTATATGCTACTAGATATTGATAAGAGTTATGCAACTGCATCAACAATTTTTGACCTTGACCTTTCCTTTGACCTTGACCTCACTTTTCTTAAATTAGTGTTTAGCTCAGTTTTAAAGATACCATTCAAGATAGTGTATTCAACCTTCATATGTTGATACATACTGATGTAAGCTATTCAACTGCATCAACATTTTTTGACCTTGACCTTTCTTTTGACCTTGACCTTTCTTTTGACCTTGACCTCACTTTTCTTACATTAGTATTTAGCTCAGTTTTAAAGATACCATTCAAGGTAGTGTAATCAAACTTCATATGTTGATACATACTGATGTAAACTATTCAACTGCATCAACATTTTTTGACCTTGGCCTTTCTTTTGATCTTGACCTCACTTTTCTGAAATTAGTATTTAGCTCAGTTTTAAAGATACCATTCAAGATAGTGTAATCAAACTTCATATGTTGATACATACTGATATAAGCTATTCAACTGCATCAACATTTTTTGACCTTGACCTTTCCTTTGACCTTGACCTCACTTTTCTTAAATTAGTGTTTAGCTCAGTTTTAATGAAACCATTCAAGATATTTTTAACAAACCTCATATGCTGATACATACTGATAAGAGCTATTCAACTGCATCAATATTTTTTACCTTGACCTTTCCTTTGACCTTGACCTCACTTTTCTTAAATTAGTGTTTAGCTCAGTTTTAATGAAACCATTCAAGATATTTTTAACAAACTTCATATGCTGATACATACTGATGAGAGCTATTCAACTGCATCAACATTTTTTGAACTTTTGACCTTGACCTTTCCTTTGACCTTGACGTCACTTTTCTTAAATTAGTGTCAAACTTCATATGCTGATACATACTGATGTAAGCTATTCAACTGCATCAATATTTTTTCACCTTGACCTTTCCTTTGACCTTGACCTCACTTTTCTCAAGTTGTGTCAAAATGTTGCATTACTAATATACCCTCGGCGGGGCATTCATGTCCTATGGACACATTTCTAGTTTAGGATTTTTTTTTTTTAATTTATACCAGATAACCGGTACTTCTCGAGAACAGCAGCAATAGTTAATCATATCAAAATGTAAGCAGATACTGACATGCATATGTAAATATACATTTATGTTAACACATAACTTTTACGGGTCATAGTTAGGGGGTAAGGGTTAGGAATTAAGAGGGTAGGGTTAGTGTCAGATGGTAAAACAAAGTAACAAGAGCTTTAACCATTATCTATTGAATGACTGTGACTCAATATTGATATCATGTTGATATTGACAGTAGGGCAAATTTCATACTTCATAAATGGAAAGTATTCAAACAAATAGGCAGAGGATAAAAAACACGGCAGCAAGGGGTATCAGTATATAATGATCAACTTCAAAATGATCGTGATTTGTTAAAGATGCAGAATCAAGTGTAAGACAGACTTTATAGACAACAAAGTATTCAAACGTGAACACAAGTAGAGAGAAACAAGTCACAAGGACAATAACAAGCAACTGTTGAATAACAGTGATTCAATATTGAAATGATATTGTTGTTATAGACATAGATATTGAAATAATATTGCTGTTATAGACAATATTGATTGTATGTTGTTTTACATCCTATTCGAGAATTTTTCACTCATAAAGAGACGTCACCATATACCGATGAAGGGCTTCAAATTTTAACCTTTACTCAGCACTTAGGGCCATTGAGCAGTGAGGGATCTTTATCGTGCCAAAGCCTGCCATGACACTGGGCCTTGGTTTTTAACACGCATTCTCTGTAAGCACCAAAAAATCTTGGAAACGACATGTCTCGGATTTTGATGAAATTTGCACCACAGGTGTGTCTTGGTACAAAACTAGCAAATATGGTGTCGGAAGTTCCACACGTGCACTTGGTTGCCATGGAGACGGATTCATAGAATTTGGCCATTTTTTACCCTTTTTGACCAAATGAAAACATGAAAATTGAGGAAATGTAAACGAATATTTATCGGTATCTAATACACTCAAACAAAAATCATTGGATCATATGATAACGTGAACTTTTAAGGTACACAGGGCATATAATCATTTATTCTAGAAATATTCCCACTCTAAGAAAAAGGTCATACAAACTGACATGGTTCCTGAAAATGTGAAAAATGGAAAATTTAGTATTTTTTGAGATCTTTAAGGCTAAATAAGAAAAATTGTCCGTGGAAAATTTTCAAATCTTATGTGTGTTTTTATACTTGAGAATTAGTAGTGTCATCTCATGAAAAAATATCAGTGGGCTTTTAATGCTATTTTTAGTAACATGTATCTATAAATAGATATGTTTTGGTAAACTGTAAAAAATCAAATTTTGGCAAAGTTTTAGATGTCATTGCTGGAAAATTAGGAAGTATCTTGCAAAATTTAAGATGTTAATGACAGTAGCTGGACACCACTAGCTGGAGTGGACAATGGTTGAGAGGGATTCCCATTTCTATTTATAGTATCAAGCACCTAAATATAGATATGTCTCTGAAAATTAGGAAAACTGACAGTTTTGTGCTAATTGGAAGCTTAATAGAAAAAGTATTAACAAATATAAAGCTTTCTACAATATGCCTTCAAAAAGAACAAGTGTTTGTACAATAATTGATACAATCTTGAGGATGGACTCTTATTTCTCTTTATAGCAATAATGGTCTAAAAATAGATTCCTCGAATTATCGAGAAAATGTAGATTCTTTCAATTTTTCAGGCAATGTTGGATGGAAAAAATGCAGACTAACTGTTATAAACTTAGTGTGATTGACAAGTACTAGAAACCATTTACTGAAATACACACTATCTGAAGGGGGTTCTCTTTTCTATTTATAGCACCAAACACCCAAAAATAGAAACATCTCAGCATATGAGGAAAAATGACAATTTTCCATCAGTTGTAAGCTTCATTGAAAAAGTATTTACAAAACATACTGCTGTCTACAATATGTCATGATCAAGAACATTTGGGCAATTAATAATTGACACAATATTGAAGATGAACTCTCTTTTCTTTTTATAGCAACAGTGGTCTAAAAATAGATGCAGTGAGTTATTTAGAAAATATACATCCTTGCACTATTTCATACAATTATGGATTGAAAATTTAAATACTCTCTATTATAAACATAATGTGACTGACAAGTACTAGCTGTATAGAAACCAATGACTGAAATACAAAATGTTTCAAGGGGATTCCCATTTCTATTTTTAGCATAAAAAATAAAAACTTAGATAAGACTTAGTGTATGAGGTAAAATAAAAAATTTCCACATACTGGAAGCTTCATAAAGAGTATTTACAAACAATTCGCTATCTACAACGGAACAATTGTTTAGACAACATTTTACATATTATTTAAGGTAGGCTCACAATTCTTTTTAGCAACAATTGTCTAAAAATAGATGCTGTATTAGGCCAACTTTTTTTTATATTCTGTTTTACGGGAGCGCCGACCCTAATTTGGGCTAAAATGAAATAAAAATAAAAGTCCCCAATTCATCTCCCGCCGATAGTTTATTTATAGTCTCTGAAAAAATAAAAGAAATATAAATAACCTTTTTAATATATTCGATCAGTGCATATTATCTATTCAAGATATATTACTAAAGTCAGGTACTCTTTACACAATTGCTCCGAAGAAAATAGTTCCATTCATGATCAGTAGATAAAACATTACAACAAATATTAAGATTAATCATGTATATTTAATACGTTAAAGAAAACAAAATTAACGTTAAAAGATTTTAAGAAAATCACTTTTTCCCCAGAAAAGCAAATAAAAAGTTTTCATATTCCTACGCTCGCTGCCTCCTCAGTCTTTTTCACGAACATATATAGGTCACACTTCGATTGATAATGATAAATCTTTTCACCAATTATATTACCGTCATGATTATTGTTCGTTAATTGCCGTATATTTTCGAGAGTTAGAATGTTAATCATTAACTGTGTGTGTGTGTGTTTTTTTTCTCTCTTTTTTAAAATAACGGAATGGTTATTATGGCTAAACACTTCTCGGCAAAGCAACGTGATTTTCCGAGCTCGGAAAGATCTTCGCACGTGTGTAGACCTAGGCTATTTGGTCTTGCAAGAACAGGTGTGTGCACCGTTCCCTAGTGACGCTTAGATCAGTAGACTGGGTATTAGTACTTGCTACGGACATAAAGAAGTTTAGAACTATACACCAGTTTCATAACAAGTGCAGGTTTTTTACTCAAGGTGAAGCCCTAGACTGGGCTAGAAGGGCTGAGTTAAGGTCATCGATCTAACACGAAAATGTACTATTTTTGTAAATAAAAACATTTCTAGAAACAAAAATGAAGTTTATCTTCAAAACGTCTGTATATTCAAAATCAGTATATGGTGGAGGAATATTCAGTGATGCTCCATAGCCGCAACCGATCTCGTGCTTTCGTTTGCGTTTAACAACGGCCGTCAATGCATCAATGGACGAGTTCATTGATTACTCTAAAAGGTGACAGGTTGGAACATCTTTAACATCTGCCTATACTTTGAGTGATAGTACTTTTTAATAGCACAAAATTAAAAAATAAATTAAAATCTATCCTTGATAGATCTAAAGTTTTGCTATTTATGAAAATGTGCTATCTTTGATAATCCATAACGGCTTGGACTTGTTTTGAATTTTTTTTTACAGAAGATTCTATCATTGGAAAGTTAGATGGTACACATGTAGCACAGGCCCATAGTACGCGGGATTTTTTGGGAGTCCCCCCCCCTTTCACTTTGAAAACGTTGCTATAGGCCTGTAACATGCTATTTGGATTAAATAT